CCTCATGCTTGAGCAGCAGCCAGTTGTAGTCCTGTATGTGACGGACAATGCTAGCGTGCGGTCTTGGCTGTTCAAAAGAAGGCCTAGCAATCGAATAGCCGGGCTCTTGATTCGATTGGTCCAGCGTCTGGAGGCCGAGCGGGGTTTCACCGTGCACCCAATCTACATCCGAACTTACCGGAACCAACTGGCTGATTGGTTAAGTCGCGAAGATCTCCAGCAAGCCAGCCAGGAGCTGGAACGACAGGGTTGGGTGAATGCCTCTCGCCCTTTCCCTTGGGAAACTTTCCTAAAAAACGCCTCCCGGCACTCACTGGTGATGCCACTGGAGGGGGACCCCCTGGCGAAGACCGCCCTGCAGCTTACTCATCGAGGGGATTTCCCCAGGGGATTTCCCCGGTAGATCCTTGAGGGCGTTGTGCATTAGAGAAGCCTGGGAGGTTCTGCGTCACAGTGCAGCTGCGGCCTGGCCCTTAAGCGGTTCCGAGCCTACCAACCAGGCCCACAACCCTATGGTTGGTTCACCCTTCTCAGGACCCAACAGGAGACGAAAGGGCTTACCTCCTGAAGCGGCTAAAAGGAAGAGGCAAGATGGCGCCGGCTGTTGGTGGACGCCCCCCCGGCATCTTGATGGGGAAGCATTAGGCCAGCAGCTAGAAGTGTTCTTCGCAGGGGTCCGTCGTTCTACGTACTTGAGCAGCCACCTTGGTGCTCTCTCTGCCCGCAGACGGCAGGTCATTTGGTGCTGGCAGGAGGGGGAGCCCGAGCCTCCAGTCTCTCTGGATGATCTGAAGGTCACCCCCCCTCCCGCTTTACAGCTCCTTCCTTTAGGGATTGGGGCAGAGGAAGCGGCCCGGATGCTCCCGGCGACTTTCGTCCAAGAGCCGAACATTGTGACAACCGGCGATCCGTGGCTGCCTCACCCGTGCGGGCATCTCAAAGGCAGGGGATTGCCTCCTAAATGTATCGTGCACCGTGTTACGGGCCCAGCTTGCGCTTTCGTCGGACCGACCAAGGACTTCCGAGGACCAGGAGGCACACTAGTGGCCGTTCCTCAAGGAGTCCGGCCTTTGACTCCATGCGAAGTTGCTCGGGCACAAGGTTTGTCTTCCTCCCAATGGCAGAGCCTACAGGTTCTTGTTGGAGGCGAGACCGCCCTTCGTGAGTTGCTAGGGAACCCGGCTGGCAAGTCGCGGCCACGTTGCTGGGGCTCTGGGTTGAAGGCCTGAAAAAGGCCGGCAATTGCCTCGACCCCGATGAAACCCAGGCCTGGCAGCAAATGGAGATCTGGCTGGCTGCTTGGCAGAGAGACCCCGAATGTCCTCGGAACCAGCTCCAGCTGATCTCCGCTCATTGTCCGGTGTCTCAGGAGTTGGAACCTTCAGCTTGGCAAACCGAGCCAGACACCCGAGCAGGAGGAGCGAGCCGCACACCTGAGGACAAAGCTTTGGTGGCACCCGTGCTGCTTGGAGATGCTCGCGAGGCTTTCTTCCGGGATTGTGGTCTTCCTAGCACTCCCCAAGTCACTTGGCTCGATCAGGTCGGTCAAGATGCTGTGCTAAGTAAGTTAGCCGACTCCACTCGTCGGTCTTACAACGCGGGATGGAAGCAGTGGTCCACCTTCATGAGTGGAACCGGGGTGCCTCTTTTCTCTGTGGTGAAACTCGAGCTGAGAAGCAAGTGGACGAGACTTGGCTTATTAGGTTCGTGGTATTCCTACATGAAACCATGGGGCGCACCGCCCAAGGAATCCGGCAGAGGCTCTCTGGAATCCGGTACGCCCACATAGCTGCTGGATATCCTGACCGTCTCGTGGGACGGGTCCCGCTGTGGGCTGCCTTAGCGGGGATGCAACGATGGGATGGCGCACCGGTCCGTAAGGTCCCGGTCACCCCCGCCATGCTAGGGTGGATCTTCTCCTACCTCCGCAGCTCAAATCGACCGGAATCCGAGAAGGCGGCACTCTGGGCCTCAGTCTGTCTGGGTTGGTTCTACATGCTGAGAGCCTCGGAGTACCTCCCTTGCACTGATCTCCGAAGAACCCCCGGACGAGTGCTTCGAGGTAGCGACTTGGAATTCTTCGCAAAAGGAACACGTTGCAGCTGGCAGGAGGCCGATTCCTTAGCTGTCCAGCTTAGAGATTCAAGGGGGGACCAGTTCGGTCGAGGGCAGGTGCGTCTTCAGCATAGCACTGGTGAAGACATCTGCCCAGTCAAGGCGTTGCAGTGGCATTGCCGGCAAAACCCAGCATGGCTGACAGACCCCGGCCAACCCGTTTGTGCCTGGCAAGGAGTGGGAGTTACTCGGGAGCAGGTGACAGAATTGCTACGCGTGGCGGCGGTCGCGTTGGGCTATCCTGCCCATCTGGTGGCTTCTCACAGTCTGCGGAAGGTCTGACCGGGTGCTCAGTGGCTTCCACTCGTGGGGATCATGCTGGGAGGCCTTCATCAAGGACGTGGCCCAGGACGTCCTTTTCTTTTGCCAGGAGAAGAGGCTAATGTCGACAACGAAGGCGTTCCGCCCCTGGTGGATTTGACCCAGACAGTGGAAGAGCCGGAGGTGAACCAGCTTCTTCCCAGCGCATCCACGGGTGGACCCCGTCCGTGCTTTACATACAAAGACTTCCTGGCGAACAAAAGCTTGGGCGCCCATTTCCACCTCTTCGAGGGGCCACCTAGACCGGGGCGTCTTCCGCTGCCATGTGTTTGGGGAGAGGAGCCGTGGTCTGGCCTTCCCTGGCGGAGTCCTGGGACGAGGCCGAGCTTCCCCTGGGGAAGTGGACAGCTACTGCCCTTGGGTCCGAATCAGCTGTGGACCCTGAAGGACCCCCGCCGGAGGTGATGGAGCAGACGGAGCGGACCGCCCGATGGGCAGACCTTGGCGACACCGTTTCCGAGGAGCCAGCTGAACCAGATGGTGCTCAAGATGCGGAAGCTGACCTCGACGACGAGCTCAACGACGACGAGAAGGCCGAGGTCCGCCGCATCGAGAAGGAGTGCACCGACCTGGAGAAGCAGCTCCGCGGGTTAACGGCCACCCAACAGCGCGCTTTCTTGGAACGCTTGGCCGATAATAGTGTCCCAGTGGTCGGGGGGCTCCTCGCGGATACTTTAACGCGCACCGCTCGGCTTCGTGACCGTGGCCAAGCCGTCCCCACACAGGCGATCCGTGCCAGCCAGGCAACCGCCGACCAGGACCCGAAGTACTTGGTGCAGAGGTTGGTCACGTTGTCGCCTTCCAGAGGCATCGGTCGAGGCTCCGAGCCATTCAACACCAGCTCCACATCGGGTAACCGAAAATCGTCATCGAAAGGGCGCCGGGGGCGTTACCGCCGATGATGTCGCTGGGACATGAACATCGACTCCGCCTTCTCCGACGTCTTCATGAACTGGAACGGGCTGGAGTCGAGTGGACCCAGGAAGAGATCGAGGCCTCCCTGACCATGGAGCAATTCCTCGACTACATTGAGGAACGGGAGCAGGAAAAGGCGGACCGGCGCAGCTTCGACAACAGCTTCAAAGGCAGCTGGACCAGCCACTGGCGGTGGAACCGCCCCAGAGACACCTCCTCCTGCCGAACCAGTTGTCGGGCAACCGCATGGCGGTACCGCCCCGGAGACACCTCCTCCTCCACCCGAGCCAGAGGTGATCCCGGAAACGCCCGCTCCGAAGCTCGAGCCAACTCCAAAGAGGTTTCCTTCGGAAGCCTTTGGCAGCCGCTCAAAGGCAGCCT